CAGTGGACTTCCGCTGCCTGACGAGCCCCACACTCTGCGGCACAGCGGCGCTGGAGTGCTGTCCATGGTCAGCCCCGGAGGACCTGGCAACGCCACATCCCAATTCTACGTCGCCCTCGGAAAGAGCCCGTTCATGGACTACCAGAATGTCGTGATGGGGAATGTCATGACTGGGATGGAGGTAGTTCATGAGATCGAGAAGGCGTTCGAGGCTGGAAGCGGCGGCCAGCTCACCATTGCCCGCAGCGGGGAGCTGCGTGTTCCGTCCAGTGCCAAGAATGTGCGTGCTTGAGAGCTCGTCAGCTGGGAAGCCCAGCGCTGGTGGGGGGAGTGCGACTTGGAGAGGCAGGCTGCCGAGGCAAAGTGAATCCCAGCCAGGGAGTGCGGTTGTCAAACCAGCCGGACCCCAGCAAAGAGCCCGCCGTCGCCACACTGCCCGCGCACAAAAACGCCGAATCAGCCCAACACACGCTGTGGGGGCGAGCGCTGCGGACTGGGCGTTGCGGGTGCAAAAATGTCAGCTCATGACGGGGCTCGAACCCGCGACTACAGGATTAAGAGTCCTATGCTCTACCAACTGAGCTACACAAGCAGATGATCGGCAGCGCAGATTTTACATACCCGGTTGTGACACCTGCTCACAGGCACAGCAATGAGCGCAACACTGGCCCCGCTGCAGCATTCCAAGCGCAACCACCACCCCTACCCCGCCCATACCACCCACCCGCTTCCCGCCCACGGCACACGCCGAGCCCGGGTGGATCCGCGCGGGGCGCCGGCCCGAACACGTGCATCCCCATGCGTGAACAGCGCCGCCCTGCAGGATCCCCGCCAAGCCGGCCGCCCGCACTGCCCACCGCGCCCATACGGTGCCCCCGGAACCGGGCCTCCACCGGAGTGGCCCGCACGCGCCCCAGGCTGTCCCCCAGGCCCCGACGGCGGGATTCACACGCGCTATCGGCGGTGAAGGCCGGCAACCGACGCCACAAACGGCGCGCTGACTGTGCTCTCGCCGAATCGGGCCGGCCGTGCGTCGCCCGTGCGTCCCCGCAGCAGGCCCGCCGTCGCCATACCGCCAGTGCACAAAAACGCCGAATCAGCCCAACACACGCTGTGGGGGCGAGCGCTGCGGACTGGGCGTTGCGGGTGCAAAAATGTCAGCTCATGACGGGGCTCGAACCCGCGACTACAGGATTAAGAGTCCTATGCTCTACCAACTGAGCTACACAAGCAGATGATCGGCAGCGCAGATTTTACATACCCGGTTGTGACGCCTGCTCACAGGCACAGCAATGAGCGCAACACTGGCCCCGCTGCAGCATTCCAAGCGCAACCACCACCCCTACCCCGCCCATACCACCCACCCGCTTCCCGCCCACGGCACACGCCGAGCCCGGGTGGATCCGCGCGGGGCGCCGGCCCGAACACGTGCATCCCCGTGCGTGAACAGCGCCGCCCTGCAGGATCCGCCCCAAGCCGGCCGCCCGCACTGCCCACCGCGCCCATACGGTGCCCCCGGAACCGGGCCTCCACCGGAGTGGCCCGCACGCGCCCCAGGCTGTCCCCCAGGCCCCGACGGCGGGATTCACACGCGCTGTCGGCGGTGAAGGCCGGCAACCGACGCCACAAACGGCGCGCTGACTGTGCTCTCGCCGAATCGGGCCGGCCGTGCGTCGCCCGTGCGTCCCCGCAGCAGGCCCGCCGTCGCCACACTGCCCGCGCACAAAAACGCCGAATCAGCCCAACACACGCTGTGGGGGCGAGCGCTGCGGACTGGGCGTTGCGGGTGCAAAAATGTCAGCTCATGACGGGGCTCGAACCCGCGACTACAGGATTAAGAGTCCTATGCTCTACCAACTGAGCTACACAAGCAGATGATCGGCAGCGCAGATTTTACATACCCGGTTGTGACGCCTGCTCACAGGCACAGCAATGAGCGCGACACTGGCCCCGCTGCAGCATTCCAAGCGCAACCACCACCCCTACCCCGCCCATACCACCCACCCGCTTCCCGCCCACGGCACACGCCGAGCCCGGGTGGATCCGCGCGGGGCGCCAGCCCGAACACGTGCATCCCCATGCGTGAACAGCGCCGCCCTGCAGGATCCCCGCCAAGCCGGCCGCCCGCACTGCCCACCGCGCCCATACGGTGCCCCCGGAACCGGGCCTCCACCGGAGTGGCCCGCACGCGCCCCAGGCTGTCCCCCAGGCGCCGACGGCGGGATTCACACGCGCTATCGGTGGTGAAGGCCGGCAACCGACGCCACAAACGGCGCGCTGACTGTGCTCTCGCCGAATCGGGCCGGCCGTGCGTCGCCCGTGCGTCCCCGCAGCAGGCCCGCCGTCGCCATACCGCCAGTGCACAAAAACGCCGAATCAGCCCAACACACGCTGTGGGGGCGAGCGCTGCGGACTGGGCGTTGCGGGTGCAAAAATGTCAGCTCATGACGGGGCTCGAACCCGCGACTACAGGATTAAGAGTCCTATGCTCTACCAACTGAGCTACACAAGCAGATGATCGGCAGCGCAGATTTTACATACCCGGTTGTGACGCCTGCTCACAGGCACAGCAATGAGCGCAACACTGGCCCCGCTGCAGCATTCCAAGCGCAACCACCACCCCTACCCCGCCCATACCACCCACCCGCTTCCCGCCCACGGCACACGCCGAGCCCGGGTGGATCCGCGCGGGGCGCCGGCCCGAACACGTGCATCCCCGTGCGTGAACAGCGCCGCCCTGCAGGATCCGCGCCCAAGCCGGCCGCCCGCACTGCCCACCGCGCCCATACGGTGCCCCCGGAACCGGGCCTCCACCGGAGTGGCCCGCACGCGCCCCAGGCTGTCCCCCAGGCCCCGACGGCGGGATTCACACGCGCTGTCGGCGGTGAAGGCCGGCAACCGACGCCACAAACGGCGCGCTGACTGTGCTCTCGCCGAATCGGGCCGGCCGTGCGTCGCCCGTGCGTCCCCGCAGCAGGCCCGCCGTCGCCACACTGCCCGCGCACAAAAACGCCGAATCAGCCCAACACACGCTGTGGGGGCGAGCGCTGCGGACTGGGCGTTGCGGGTGCAAAAATGTCAGCTCATGACGGGGCTCGAACCCGCGACTACAGGATTAAGAGTCCTATGCTCTACCAACTGAGCTACACAAGCAGATGATCGGCAGCGCAGATTTTACATACCCGGTTGTGACGCCTGCTCACAGGCACAGCAATGAGCGCAACACTGGCCCCGCTGCAGCATTCCAAGCGCAACCACCACCCCTACCCCGCCCATACCACCCACCCGCTTCCCGCCCACGGCACACGCCGAGCCCGGGTGGATCCGCGCGGGGCGCCGGCCCGAACACGTGCATCCCCATGCGTGAACAGCGCCGCCCTGCAGGATCCCCGCCAAGCCGGCCGCCCGCACTGCCCACCGCGCCCATACGGTGCCCCCGGAACCGGGCCTCCACCGGAGTGGCCCGCACGCGCCCCAGGCTGTCCCCCAGGCGCCGACGGCGGGATTCACACGCGCTATCGGCGGTGAAGGCCGGCAACCGACGCCACAAACGGCGCGCTGACTGTGCTCTCGCCGAATCGGGCCGGCCGTGCGTCGCCCGTGCGTCCCCGCAGCAGGCCCGCCGTCGCCATACCGCCAGTGCACAAAAACGCCGAATCAGCCCAACACACGCTGTGGGGGCGAGCGCTGCGGACTGGGCGTTGCGGGTGCAAAAATGTCAGCTCATGACGGGGCTCGAACCCGCGACTACAGGATTAAGAGTCCTATGCTCTACCAACTGAGCTACACAAGCAGATGATCGGCAGCGCAGATTTTACATACCCGGTTGTGACGCCTGCTCACAGGCACAGCAATGAGCGCAACACTGGCCCCGCTGCAGCATTCCAAGCGCAACCACCACCCCTACCCCGCCCATACCACCCACCCGCTTCCCGCCCACGGCACACGCCGAGCCCGGGTGGATCCGCGCGGGGCGCCGGCCCGAACACGTGCATCCCCATGCGTGAACAGCGCCGCCCTGCAGGATCCCCGCCAAGCCGGCCGCCCGCACTGCCCACCGCGCCCATACGGTGCCCCCGGAACCGGGCCTCCACCGGAGTGGCCCGCACGCGCCCCAGGCTGTCCCCCAGGCCCCGACGGCGGGATTCACACGCGCTATCGGTGGTGAAGGCCGGCAACCGACGCCACAAACGGCGCGCTGACTGTGCTCTCGCCGAATCGGGCCGGCCGTGCGTCGCCCGTGCGTCCCCGCAGCAAACCCGCCGTCGCCACACCGCCAGTGCACAAAAACGCCGAATCAGCCCAACACACGCTGTGGGGGCGAGCGCTGCGGACTGGGCGTTGCGGGTGCAAAAATGTCAGCTCATGACGGGGCTCGAACCCGCGACTACAGGATTAAGAGTCCTATGCTCTACCAACTGAGCTACACAAGCAGATGATCGGCAGCGCAGATTTTACATACCCGGTTGTGACGCCTGCTCACAGGCACAGCAATGAGCGCAACACTGGCCCCGCTGCAGCATTCCAAGCGCAACCACCACCCCTACCCCGCCCATACCACCCACCCGCTTCCCGCCCACGGCACACGCCGAGCCCGGGTGGATCCGCGCGGGGCGCCAGCCCGAACACGTGCATCCCCGTGCGTGAACAGCGCCGCCCTGCAGGATCCCCGCCAAGCCGGCCGCCCGCACTGCCCACCGCGCCCATACGGTGCCCCCGGAACCGGGCCTCCACCGGAGTGGCCCGCACGCGCCCCAGGCTGTCCCCCAGGCCCCGACGGCGGGATTCACACGCGCTATCGGTGGTGAAGGCCGGCAACCGACGCCACAAACGGCGCGCTGACTGTGCTCTCGCCGAATCGGGCCGGCCGTGCGTCGCCCGTGCGTCCCCGCAGCAAACCCGCCGTCGCCACACCGCCAGTGCACAAAAACGCCGAATCAGCCCAACACACGCTGTGGGGGCGAGCGCTGCGGACTGGGCGTTGCGGGTGCAAAAATGTCAGCTCATGACGGGGCTCGAACCCGCGACTACAGGATTAAGAGTCCTATGCTCTACCAACTGAGCTACACAAGCAGATGATCGGCAGCGCAGATTTTACATACCCGGTTGTGACGCCTGCTCACAGGCACAGCAATGAGCGTGACACTGGCCCCGCTGCAGCATTCCAAGCGCAACCACCACCCCTACCCCGCCCATACCACCCACCCGCTTCCCGCCCACGGCACACGCCGAGCCCGGGTGGATCCGCGCGGGGCGCCGGCCCGAACACGTGCATCCCCGTGCGTGAACAGCGCCGCCCTGCAGGATCCCCGCCAAGCCGGCCGCCCGCACTGCCCACCGCGCCCATACGGTGCCCCCGGAACCGGGTAGGTCTCTTTGACTTGAGCAAAAGTGCATGGCAGAGACATCGCTTTGGGGCTGACAGCCCAGCAAGTCACACACTGTCACTGGCATGCCCACCGCCAGGAGGTTCCTAGTATCCGACCTCTCGCACAAGCGCAAGGTAGCTGTCGGCACCTTCCGCTGTTGCTGTGCTCGAGTCTTGGGAAGGGTAGCCCCATCGCTCGCCGTCGCTTCGCAATGCGCCAACCCTGGCCGCAGGTGCGGCCACCCCCAGCATGGTGTAGAGCACGTCGCGGGCAGCGACAACGTCAGCTTCGTCACCGTCCCAAGCAGTCGAGGACAGGATTGCCATTGCGCCATCCGGGTCGCAACCGAAAAAGCCTATGACAGCCGTTTCGCTCGGGTCTGCCTCTCGCAACGCCTGGATCCACGATGCTGGCCGTTCGCCACCAGGTACTGCTTCCTCAGCCCCTGCACCCGACGAGACCTGTCCGTGGTCGGACGTCTCGGGCTGGGCGTCCGTTTTGAAAAGGTCGTCAAAGATCATCAGCGTGGAAAACAACCGCTCTCCCGTGATGCGGCGCACCTTGGGGAACGGGTGGGCCAGAAAGTCCAGAACGGTTCGCAATGCTGCAGCGCCGATTGGCTGCCGGAGACCCACCATCGCCAATAGCACGTCGCTCGCGGACATGACCCGAACGGGGTCCTTCGAGCGCATGACGCGATAGCGAATCAGCGGGATGGCTTCGCGAGCCCACCGCCCGTCCTTCGCAGAGCCCTCACCGGCGCGGCCCTGGGCAAGCAGCACATGAAGCGTGCGCAACACGGGAACCACTAGGCGGGACTCGACTCTGAATCCGGTCGCCTGGCTGGCAAGAGATGCTGGCTCATCCGAGTCGGGTTGAAGTGTTGAATCTCGAGAAGGCTTGCCTGCAGCAGAAGCTTGCTCTCCGCCGCTGCCTGCGGGCACCTTGGCGATGCGACCGCGCAGCAGCAGCAGCAAGTTCCACAGCAACGTCTCAAGCCCCGTTCGGTCGCCCTTTGGCTCCCCTGCTGCACGGGCCCACGCTGCAAGTGTCGAGGTGCTGCACTTCACAACGGACTCCGACAAGCCACCAACTGCAAGGCTCAAGCCCTCCGCAAGCCCCCGAGCGTACACTGGATCCGGGATCGAGAGCAACGGGACCATCCGTGGGAACACAACGTCGGGCGCTGCGAAGTTGGCCTCGCTGCTCGGGCTGGCTCGGAGAGTCGGCTTCGGGAGTGCGCGCCCAGGAATGCCGTCGCTGGGCGATTCATCCTCAATGTCCTCCCCGCTCGGCTCCTCGTCGTGGATCCGAGCTGCTCGGAGGCGCTGGGCGCGCTCGAACGCTTCAAAAATCTGAGGCAAAGAGGTGGGAGGCGCTTCATCAGACGCATTGACCGAGGGAGGCACGAGATCACGGAGGCGGGGCAAAAAGGGGGCAGGGATTGCAAGTGGCGGGACGGCGCTGTCCCAAAGCAGCCTCGAAAGTGCCCTTCCTGCCGCCGATCGCACGCGGTCTTGCTTTTCGACTGCCAGCCGAAGGAGGCACCCGATTGCCTGTGCCGCGCGCTCAGGTCCAAGCAGGCTCGCGGGGTCGACTCGCGAAGGGGCCCCGAGGCCGCGGTCTGCAACATCTGCCTCGAGGGCATCCACAACTGCAGCACGATGCGCAGCGGTGGGCAAGTCGCGGCCAGCTGAAGACAGTCCCCCCCGAAGGCAGTGTGGGAACCCTGGGGCGCCCGCCCGCTCCCAGGCGTCGGCGACCGGCAGGGCGGTGAACTCGAGATCGGCCACAGCGACGGACGCCTTCCCATACGGGCAATACCACCGCCCGACACCGCGCGACCCCGAGAAGTCCACAACAGCGACAGCCCCGGCTGAGTTCAGGCTCACGAGCACCCCGTCTCCGAGTCGCGAGTGCACCACCGCATCACCTGGAGCCACCCCTCCGGCCCGGATCAGGCGAGCGTTGGCAGCCCATCCGTCGGCGCCTGCCTGTGGCCCAACAAAAGGAGGCGCGCCTCGAGTGACCAGGCCAAGCGACAGCCGGGTTGGCACCACAGCCAAGAGGCGCGTCAGCCGACAAACGCAGTCAGCCGCAGCGATGCGGACCCACGAGCCGACGTCCCCTCGGGTATCCGTGGCGTAGTCGCCAGTGGAGTCACACACGGCATGCCACAGCTGTTGCAGCTGTTCCGGTCCCATCCCGGCGAAGGTGCGCTCGGCGTTGCTGCTGGCGCAGTCTGGCGACTTGGCGCTCTCAGATCGCGGAACACTGGTCGCCACTCCGAGCTCCTCGACCAAGGACGTCAGCGCTTGAACGGCGTTGCGCCTGGTTTCAGCGTCCCGCCGTGACACAACGGGCTCGGGACGAGTTGCTTCGCACAGCGCAGATACCACTGCTGCCAGAGTTGCCTGGCCAGTCGCCGCCGCCGGGTCCAACACCAGCGCTGGCCTCGCAGCAACACGGCGCCTCGGCCCTGCTGTGCGGCCAGTCCCCGTGCGGCCACGCGGCGCCGCTGAGGGGCTTGGCGCGGCTGCCACCTCTGGGGCAACTGTGGCACCAAAGAGAGTCGACGGCAGCTGACCAAGCGCCAGTGCGGCGCCTCGACGAACAGCAGCGTTCTCGCCGGAGTTGACCAGGTCGGCGTAGCGGAGGCAGAGTCGTTGCCGCAGCTCTGCCTCCGGGCGGCCCAGCGCGGTGCGCGTCAGGGCTGCAAACGCCGCTGCAGCAGCGATCTGAACGCTCTCGTGAGCGTGCCCGAGGCACTCATCGACCGTCTTCAGCAGTCGGAGGGCCCCCTTCCTGCCCAGCGGCAGCCGTGCAAGGACGAAGACCTCGATGAGGCGGCACATGGCCTCGCGTACAAGCAGCCCCCCACGGCCCCGATACACTCTGACCTTCTCCGCACGAGGCACCACGGCGCGGATGTTGTGCATCACAGAGTAGGGAATGAGCGCCTGAAAGTTGGACAGCCTTGCCAAAGACAGCAGCACCTCCGCGATCGCAAGCGTTGCGCCGTGCCTGACGAGCAGGTCGGCACTCGTCGTCTCGGCGGTCAGACGTGGAAGCAGGTCGGACGCGGCCCACTCGGGCTGAAGGGGCGCCAAGTACGCCAGGGCCCGCGCAGAGAGCCGGCGCACGTCAACGTCCCAGTGGCGGAGTTTGACGCCAACTAGGTGCTCCAGCAGCGCGCCCCGGTAGGTCGCGAACGTTGCAACCTGGCGGGCCACATGGGTGAACGCGTGGGCGCGGTTGCCCAGGCTGAAGTAGTCAGCAGCCGTCAGGATCGCGATGCCGTGCGGGAAGTTGTCAGCCCCCTGACGCCCCACGCTCTCCTGGAAGGCTGCAGCAGCGGCGCGCCTGCAGTTCACCTCACGGTCGAAGAGCGCCACACAGAGGAGAGCGGCCGCAAGCGGTCGAACCCAGGGGCGCATGACGCTGGGAGAATAGGCGCGGGCGAAAGCCCAGCAGACGTAGCAAGCAGCGTCCCGGACGTGCGAGCCCACAGAGGTCGCGCCTCTGCGCTCGTCGAACTGAAGCGCAGATACCACGCGTGGCACGACATCTGAGAGCCTTGCTGGCAAGAGGAGCCCGCGCCGAGCCAGCTCGGCCAGCGCCAGGCACCCGCCGTGCCATGCGCCATCACCCTCCGCTCGGTCAAGCAGCGTGGCCACGGCCTCCACCACCTCGTCGGCAAACTCCCTGGGAAGCCGGCCAGCCACCCGGCCGATCCCCTTGGCAGCCGACCACCGAACAATGGTGTCGTGGTCGCGGAGCCCAGTGAGGAGGCTGTCGATCACGTCTTCCACCACGGGCTCGATGTCGAAATCGTCGTCGGCCTCGGGCTCCTCGGCATCGCGAGCGCGACTGGGGAGAGCTGCGGCTGGCCCCGCACCACGGAGGTTATCCAGCAGTGACCGCTGGCCTCGTTGGTAGCGCCAGCTAGCAACGCGGGGGGGCAGGTACACCAGCCCAGTTCGCTGCGAGAGCTTGACAAGCAGCCGGCGAAGGCTTGCCGACGAACGCAGCAGCTGGCCCTGCTCGCTTGCCGCCACCTGCGAGATTCGGCAAAAGGCCTCGCCGGCGGCATCGGCAAGGGAGTCGCGCTGGCCGTGCTTGAAGGCACGGACAATTGCGGCCAGCACGCCGGTCACGACGAACACGTCGAGGCCACCTGCGGGAGCCCCCGACGCAGCCGCGGGGTCTGCCCCTGCGCTGGCTGCGGCAGCTCCGGACCACACTGGGGTGCCGGCCCCGCTATCATCGACGGCGGACGTGTCCCAGCCAGACGGTGACGCCTGCTGCCGGGCGGTCAACTCCTCGGCATCGCCCTCTGCACCATCGCTGGCCAGCCGCTCTGCCAGCCCAGGGTCAGCCCTCGCATGCGAGAGACAGGTCGCCTCGATAACCTTGACCCCCCACCCGATGAACTCGGCCAAGACGCTCGTCTCCAGATCCGGCCGGGTCAACAGCCTGCCAACGCAAGCAGCCGCTGCGTCTCGGACCGGACCTGCGGAGCCCAGGCACCCCTGACACACGCACAGAATGGTCCCCACAATGCCCCCGCCCCAGGGGTCCCCAGTGCCAAACGTGGGGACGGTTGACAGGGCCCCCTCCGCCGCCGCTGCCAGCGCCGCGGCTGCAGGCCCCAGGTCTCCTGAGTCGATGGTGTGCACCGGAAAGGGCGCTAGCACCAGCACT